AAAGAATTTTTAGTAGCCTCATCAGAACATTCTGGTGAGCTTCTGAATATATCAGCAGAGATAAAATTGGCATCTTAGAGGGAGTCTGGTACAACTATTCTATGATTCCATAAATCGCTCTTTCTTATTATTCCCATTAGCTCTTCAACCTCGTCATTGGGAGCTAGAGAAATCCCAGGCGCAACAATTGATTTAGGCATACTAGTTTGCACAAATCCTGATTACTAATCATCACTTATTTACCCTTAGTCCTTGTTAAGGTATAAAAAACTTCTTGTTTAGTATCTGTGAATAGTAGTTGCTTAAACACCTCCGCTAAGAAAAAGAAGAACCACAAGATAAAAAGACCAGTCAAAAAACCTGTAATGCATGGAATGTGTGATTATGCATGTTATTTTTTTGTCATTTCCCAGGTATCCAAGATTTTTTTCAACCATCGAGAAAGACCAAACAATATAATAGAGATAAGTAATAGTCAAGACGAAGTGTCAAAGCAAACCCTATTTTCATAACAACGCTGTAAATCAGATGAATTCACACAGACGAGACAACATCATATCATAAGGGATCCAAAATCAATTGTTTTTCACTCATGGTAGCAAAATACAGCGTCAAGATCCCATCCAACCATTCTGGTGGTAGTCAGGCGACAAAAGTTATTTCATGAAATCTACTAATGGAATGATTCTTCTCCAGGATAGCACATAGCAAAGTTTCAACTCTCTTTCTAACCCATATGGTATAAGGAATTCCAACATTAGCACCCTTCCTATCAAGGAGAGCTCCATCTTCCCTATGAATCTCATCCTAAGCTAGTTGTACTTTCTTCAACCATCTAGGGTTTTCCACCTTATTGAAGAAAACAAAATCTCTACATCCTTGTCGAAAGGTTCAACATCCAATGCATTCCCTAACTGACGAGGTGCAAGCATAGGATTGTAGTTGATGCAACCCCTTCTTGAGAGGGATGTTAGAAAACTCCTCGCAGATTGAAATGATCTCAGAGACATCCATCTCAGGGTTATGCCATTTTATACCATGATGAGTGAGACTCGTGATTCTTTGAGAAAATGGGTAAATTCCTCGAAAGTCCACAAATGGTCTGCTTACGGGTAGATGAGACATGAACCATTTATGCAGAAATATTCGACCACAAACAAGTGTTCCCTTCATTCCATTCTTGGAGTGAATATATTAGTAAGTATTAACAAGAAGAGTCGGCACATGGTTTTATCCATTAAGAGATAAACAATAGTGCAATCTGCATAGCTTGTGAATTTTGGGAACATAACTATCCCACAATTCAAGATATCCATTACACCATTGAAGGAAAACCAAATTATTTCACTCGCATTCTCTTTAACTTTCATTTGTCAAAAATCTAGAAGGAAGGCTAAAGATGACACTTTTGTGCTCCCAATTCTCTTTTACATCGTTCAGGCTCAAATAAAGAGCCTCAATGACAACTTAAATATTGAACAACCCCCTGAAATGTTGACAAAAGGAACCCGATTTTGATGTCAAAAAATGAAGGCATACTCCTTAAGAGTGGGAAAAAGATGATAGTCCTGGGAAGTGAAGCAACGCAACTTCGGGTGGAAATATTGCAGAAGAGTGGGTAGAACCCATGGCTCACTGGTAGTTTTCAAGAGAGATAGGATGTTGCCAAAGTCTTGAGTGAAGCTTCTTGAATTGTGCTTGATAACTTGAGCGCCTAAATCTCTTAATGGTGTCCAATCCTCATGAATGAAACCATAGGAAAATATATGTCTGGTAACCAGCTCTAATGAAGATACGAACTCTTGAATATCCCTGGAAAATGACAATGCATATGCAGGTTAACTATTTTGTACACAATTTTTTCAAAAAGTAAATATGCTATGATGCAATAATGACAGGATCAAGGCTTCCAGAATACTCAATGTTGTTGTACTACTGCATAGAATCATAAGTTCAAAGGTTAAAGATAGTCATTAATAATAATAATCATCAACCAAAGTACCAACAGAAAGAGAATCACAAACATAACCCAGTCAACATTGAACTAGAGTCACCAACATAACAAAGTGGTCACCATCGGAACACAATCACCATTTGTACCTGTATTAAAACCATCCCTCCCACTCACGGGTAAAGACTAGGTTAGGGTAAGGCAAGGGTAACTTAGAAATCACAGGTCCCCCTGAAAGTAAAATCATCGCAACACAGACATGCATGATGAAAGTATCTTCTCTTGAACCTCATTCGAGCATGGTATATGACATGACTGCACTAATAGGACCACGTCCTACAACCATCATGGCGCCACTCTATTCCTAGTGCCCTAGTGCACTCTGGCCTAGGTACTGGGCCTTTTACATCGAGAAGTATCATTCCAATCCCACAGCATAACAGCAGTATCCAGAGTATAAGAGACTATAAAAATGTAATGCATGAAAGCATGTAATCAATGCATATAAACAAATAAAGCTAGAAATTAGTAAACACATATTCACCCAAGAAAAGAAGACAAACACAAGCTAGGAATGACTTGCTAAGGATGGACCAGCAGTAAGTCAATCTGTCCCCAGTGAAGTCTCCAGCTGAAACAATTAGCTGAAAATCATCAAAGATAAAATTTAATGAAGTCTCCATCGAATGTCTTTTATCCCACGGGAAGGGAAAGGTAAACATTGAGAAAACATGAAGGGGTGAAATCACGGTCTTGCGACCATAGAGATCAGGTAATGAAGTCGGTTACACAAGGGGAAGGTATTAGCACCCCACACGTTTGTAGTACTCTACATGATCCACTTATGTTTGTTCTGATCTAAGGGTGTGAGCTCTATGTCTAAGGCTTAAAAACTAAAAGAAAAATGTAAAGGGGGGAGTGCATGCAAAAGAAAAGAGAAAATAATGTAGGGAAAATAAAAGTTGTGCTCGTTCGATCCCTACCCCAATGCCTACGTATCTATTTTAAGGAATCAGAGCAATCATAGTTCGGCTTCAAAAAATTTGTTGGTTTGTATTTTTTTAATAAACAATATTAATTTCGCCTTTTGCCGCAACTCGACCTTTGGAGACTTACGCATCAGCACAGAAGTGAATTAACATGCTCTTTTGAAAAGAGTTTTGAAAGAAAAGCCCAAAGGAAAAAGAATTTGTGTTGGTTGGTATTTTTGTTACAGATAACAGCTAGTTAATCTCAAGAGAGAGATATTAGCCATTTCTCCACTTATTTATGAAATAAGTCCTTGAGACTTGAAACATACTAAAACTTAGAATGGAAATCAATAAGATTGAGAAGAAACCCGCTTATCATTTCCCAAACTCAACAAAGATATGATTCTCATCAGAAATTTTTAAAGTGTTTTGAAGTTTTCTAGAAAAAGAAGATTGTTTTAAATGCAGGAATGCAAAAGGGAAAAGAAAACTCTAAGGGGGAACTAGAAAAATAACCCTTGAGTTGTCATGCATTATTGATCCTACAGTTAAGGATGAAAAGGGGAAAATATATATCTAATATTGGCATACATGGTGTAGGCCTAAGGACTATCCAACTCAATCTTTAGGGACGATTTATTTAGAGATCCTATGGGGAGCATATGAGAGGAGAATCTAATATAGAAGGAAAAAGGGATAGAAAATCATCGTATAAAGAAATAACAAGACATCAGGAAGCATGAACCAAATATGGATGATGAATGAAGATATGTATGATGATACCTAATGAAGAAGGTTCGTTGCCTCTTCAATATGCACAAGATAAGAAAACTCTTCTGAGCGCCTCCTTGAATTTCCTTCATCAACCAATGATTAAGCACCCGAGTTGCATCAACAATCAATCGCAAAATCATAGCACAAGTAACCAAGGTAAATGAAATGCTTGGGGTGTAAGAGATGAATCAGGTTATGATTAACCAAGGGGTGTACTTGATTAATGTCGTGAGAGCAGGTGCTCCTACCCTTAACTATGGAACCATTTAGGAAAAGCTTTGTATGTGGACCAAGGAGAGGTCATGCGTTTTAACTGGATGATACATGCATACTTGAGCAAGAATTAAAACGTTCGGAGAAATAAAATTCTAAGCTACAAAGAAATAAAATTCTAAGCTATTACAACCATAGGGGGATGGGAGTACAAACTTATGAATAGGGATGTATCAAGTTGACAACATGATTAAAAATCTAAACAAACAAACAATTCAAACTAATCAAAATATTAAACAATTAATTAAATTGAACCATTTTATTTGATATCATAAATTAACAAAATAATTAATGATGTCAAATTATATTTTTCAATCTAATTAATTGCTTAAAACAAAAAGATATTTTGTATTTTTATTATTTTTATTATTATTTGCTAAAGAAAAATCATTAAACAAATAATATAAAAAAAAGAAGTATAAAGAAAGAAAAAGAATTTGGGGCCTAAAATCAGCAATTATAGGAGTGTTGGAGGCAAAAGTGAGTCCAGACCCAAGGAAGGGATCTTTTGGATCTAGTGTGTGGGTCCTGGAGGGAGCACGGTGGAGATGCGTACATTGGAGCGTCAAATGATGATCTGAGAGCTGAGAGTAGCGAAGGTGCAAGGGAAGATTGATGGAGAGTCACACATTGGATCTGGTGGATATGGTGTATCCTCTTCATGGAGATGCACCATGGGACTGCACTTTTGAATCATTGAATGATGACAATGAAGATCTGAATGTAACGAAGCGAGAGGGCATGGTTTCCCACGGCAAGATATCTGCACGAAATCAGAAAACAGCCACAACGGTGGTGACAAGTGTCACCTCCATATTAGTGATTTCAATTATCACTAATTAATCCATAAAATAATGTCATTAACATAAAACCGTGACAAAATACAAAAAAAAAGAGATTAATTCTCTAATATATTTCCTCCTTTACTTAGACTCTCTCACTCTCTTTTCTTCATTGCTCGCCAAAAATTGCCTGCGGTAGAGGCAACGACAGCGGACGGAGATTCTGCTCTGATCTTAAATTTTCTTACATCAATCACTTCGTCCTCCTCTCCTCTTTACTAAATTGTGACTTGATTTTGTAGATGTTGAACGGTAGCATGTAGATTTGAAAGGGAGAAACGAAACCCTAGCAGATCCGATGGCGATTTTTGTGACGATGACCGGTGTTGGAGGCGCTGCTTTTGAGTTTAAGTTGGTGAGATCTCTCAGATTTTTACTCTTTCTTCTCCGTTGCCCTAGGTTTTCTTGAAATTTCTTTCTTTTTCTCTTCATCTTTCTCTGTTTCTGAAGGTTTTGTGGTAGGGAAATGATGAACTAGTTAGGGCTTTAGCGTGAACTTGCTGCGGTTTTTGTGTTACATCTGAACAGAAATTTGATTTCTGAAAACTTTTTCGGGCCTTTTTGGAGATGAATTTTGTAGAGACTTTTTGAGTTTCTTCCAGAAGTTGGAGCATGAGAATTCTATCATGAATCAATTTGTTATATAGGTTTATCAGTTTTGAAAAACAGTAAAGGATTGATTTAATTTGAGCTGTTCATTGTGAGAGTTTGTTACAAAGATTGGAGGGTGAGGATTTGTGTGCAACGAAGCTTGCTTGTGAAGTTTTGCTAAGATGTAAATGAATTTTCACTGAGTTTTGGTAATAGGCCTTGAACGAATTTTGTTTGGGATTTTTGTTCATCTAATATCTGTTATTATTTTCTGATTATTCCTGATTTAGTGAGCTGGAGCTGTGACTTGAACTTTGCCTCTGATTTTTATTCCCTGATTATTATTATTTGTGGGTGAACCTATTTGCTGCAGTAATTCGCTTGAGACACGAAATCTTTTACTATGATGACTTTTGTTGTTTGGGCAAGAATTTGTGGTTCTATACTTGCCTCTTTGTTACTGGAATAATTTGATGTTTGATGGGATGGACATGTGATTCTGCTTGCATTCTGTTTTACTACAGTGACTTTCTTTTTCTTTTATTGTGAACCAAAAATAAACTTTTTGTGATTTGCAGTAGAGAATTTGGCCTATGATTGAACACTTGAATCTGATTTTGTGAAACAAAACTATCTATGAGGCTTTGGTGTTGCTTGAACATGATTCGGAAACCACCCTTAAACTGATTCCTATTGCAAACCCTCATGATGACACTTTGAAGAGAAACTTCTTCTTTTTGTGAAAGCTTTTTCTGTTTAAATTTCAATGCTTCAATCTTTTTCTAACCAATTTCCTTTTCCTTTGGTTTATGAAAAAATAATGATGACGAGGGAGTAAGTTGGTGACAACATGGCAAGACTTGGAAAAGCTTGAAGTTTGGAGGGAGATTCACAAGGAAAAGGAAAGGGAAAACTCTCTTAGCAACCATAAAATTAGACTTGCTAGATTAGAGATTTGAATTCGCCTTGTAATCTTAAAGACATGACGTAACCATAATAATTTTGTAAGATTTGATGAACACTTTTTGACATAATAGTTCATTTGTAACAAACCCCTTGAAATATGTCTAGAAATTGGTATGGTGAATGAATTTAAGGAATTTTGATCGATGAGGTGAATAAGTGTGAATTGAATTTGAATGAATCTTGAAAGAAAATAAAATGAGGTATTGATCTTGAAATGTTAAAAAATGCTTTGGATAAAACCAAGAAGATTGCAATGTGAATGCAAATTGTAATGGGTTAAATGTGATGTTGGTTTCAAAATAGAAATTGCCATGATAATATAACTTAACCTAGGCGTAAAAAACCAATATAATTCTTATAGCCTTGATAGACAAAAGTTGAACCAAGCAAACTTGCCCTTTATCATATCTCAAGTAATAAACTCTTAACCCTAACTTAACCAAACATGTGTAACAAGAATTACTCTTAAAAAGTAATCATGAGTTCCTCCATTATACCATGAGCGGTTCGTGAAAACATTGATGAACCCAAGCATAACAAAATAGAACCATGAGCTTCCTAAGGTATATATTGAATGAAGAGATATCTTAAACTCAAAGTTCTAGCTCGCCATCCTCCTTATTTTTGAAGAAAATTTGAAGAATGATGAGACTAGAATCTAATACTAATGACCCTTAGTTGATTGAGCTCAAACATATTGAGTACAAACCCTAATATCACACTTCAACACTTGCAGATCATGAATCCTATGATGTCATAAAGAATCAATAAGATATCATGAGCGCTGAGAAACCTTGGTAGCCCAAATGACCAAAATAATAAGGATATGAGATCAATCTTGGACTGATTAATGACACAATCAAATTTTGTTGCTTTGAAGATAACTTGAATAACAAAATAGCCTTGATCTCATCACAATGTATGAAATTCATATGATGAAACATAAACCACTAAAAGTAAAACGAAGAGGGAAAATTTTGGGGTGCAACAACTTCCCATATTCAATCTTCTTTAACCAGAGGGTGAGATTGGAAATATCCTTTTGAACAAACACGTTATAAGAGGATTGAATACTCAATAGAACCATAAAATTTTCACTCTGAAGCCAATCAGGGATTATTATATTTTTAGTTTTCTATATATATATATATATATATATATATATATATATATATATATATTTGTTTTTTTTTCTTTTTTTTTGGGTTACGGTGGTTATCTGGGTAAATTTCTTAGATGTCAGGTCAAAGTTAGACACACAAGACAAAGATAAAAGATCCAATATAGAGAACTTTAACGGAGATATCTAACAAGAAAGAGACCTAACAAAGCAGACTCAATCGAAAATGCAGAGAAAAAATGAGATCCCACAATGATTTCACCCAAAGATAACAAAGATGAATGAGACCTAACAAAGCGATCTCAAATGAAACTATCATAAATGGAAGAGATCTAACAAAGAAAACTCAACCCAAGGTAGCGGATATGGAAGGGATCTAACAAAGCAACCTCAACCGAATATATCAATGATGGACGAAATCTAACACAGCGACTTCAACCAAAGATATCAAAGAAGGAAGACTAACCGTAAACAAGGTCCTGGATAAAGAATGCCTTAAAGGCGAATTTATCAGAGGGGAGGGAACGTCGGGCGAAGGAGAACCTTAACCAACAAAAAAGGGACATCAGGTGAAGGTGGACCTAAGATGGAAAGACACCGGGCGAAGGTGAACTTACTAGAGGAAAGAGAACGTTGGGCAAAGAAAAACCTACTGGGGAAAAGGAAGAACGTCGGGCGAAGGCAAACTTATAATGAGAAGAATACTAACCGAAGTATACTTTGGAAGAAATACCACCTATCCAAAATTGACTTATTGGGGATAAATATATGTATGTCTGGTCCGGGTTAGACATGCATATAAAGAGACCGGTCAAATAGGCTCTAACATGGCAAGGGATGATCAAAACATACCCTAACTGGAAATGTTAGCTAAGCTAACGGAAGGTAAACCCGATCCAAAAGGATAAACCAGAGAAAAGGAACTGATAAAAACAGAAACTAAACAAAGGAAGGAAATGATCAAAACATAACCTAATCGGAAATGTTAGCTAAGCTAACAGAAGGTAAACCCGGTCCAAACGGATAAACCAAAGAGAAGGAACTGATCAAAATATAACCTAACCGAACATATTAGCTAAGAGAACAGAAGGTAAACACGGTCCAAACGGATAAACCAGAGAGAAGGAACTAATCAAAACAGAACCTAAACAAGGGAAGGAAATGATCAAAACATAACCTAACTGAAAATGTTAGCTAAGCTAACAGAAGGTAAACCCGATCCAAACGGATAAACTAGAGAGAAGGAACTGATTAAAACAGAACATAAATAAAGGAAGGAAATGATCAAAACATGACCTAACCGGAAATGTTAGCTAAGCTAACAGAAGGTAAACCCGACCCAAACGGATAAAATAAAGAGAAGGAACTGATCAAAACAGAAGCTAAGCAAAGGAAGGAAATGATCAAAACATGACCTAATCGGAAATATTAGCTAAGCTAACAGAAGGTAAACCTAATCCAAACTGATCAAAACAAAACCTAAGCTAAAAACGTTATCTAAGCTAACTGAAGGTAATGTTGAATATATGGAAAAGAGAGAAGGAACTGATCAAAGTAAACTCCTAACCAAGATATAACAATCAAAGGCGGACCCACCGATGAAAACAAAATTGGTCAAAATATATACTTTTCGAGAGAAAATATTGTCCAAAGGAAGATTTACTGGGGATACTACGTGCCAGATTCAATTAGGAAAACTGGACGAGAATTTTGTCCCAAGCTAAAGTGAACACCAAATCGAAGGCGAACTTTACGGGAAAGAGAGACCAGCCGAGGGGTACTCTGATAAGGATTTCCAAAACATATTGGACTTTCAAGAGGTTGTGAATATGTAAAAATTACGATATCCCTCAAACAAAAGGCGAGGGTATCAATTCTTCGAGAGTGTCTATTATTTATATTTCCATATAACAAACATGGACACTTGAATATTCGAGAAATAAGACAGGTTATACACCGACTCATTCTTGCACTCTTGAGACTAAGATAACATGAGTAAAATGAACGATGGCTTGCAAGGGTAAACATGGACTTACTGGGGGTATGGAAAGCACCATAGACCCGACTTATGGTAAATCAAAACAGACTCCACTGGGCAAACAAAATAGGATCATCCTAGGCTTGTTGCGGAGATAATTCATCTTTGAGCGTGTAATAATATAGTTACCAAAGGTGAACACAATTGGTTTATGCTTATGTGTGTTTGAATTTTTATAGTGTAATTCTCCATACAATGAAAATTCTATGCATTTTGATAGATGCAATATAATGATTCATGTTTAGTAATGCACTGGGGTCAACACATCAATAATCGGCTGCTGGGAAGACCAGAAGCTTACGAACGACTATCTTTACACATATATTCTTCCTGAATTATAATGGGGAATCACAATTCAGACTCAACCATACTCTGAAGATTGCTATCACTGGGCAAATAACTTCCTAGGGAGAAAACTGTAAATATAAATCACAGCTCTGAAAGAATTTTGAACTCTGGTCAAACTCTCAACTCCCTGGGCAACAAATCCAATCTCCTCCAGATGAGGAAAACTTCACTGGGAATAGAAGAATTTACTAGGTGTTGTACCCCAAAATTTGGCCTCACATTTTTCTCAAAACATGCTCTTAGAGGTACTCAAATGCTCAAGATTGACCAAGAATTGACAAGACAAATTCTCCTCATAAGCATTGGATTTCCAACTAGGGTTTCACTTCTCAAAAATAAATTTAGGTTTCAAAGACCTCAAGTGATTTG